CGGCAGTGAGACACACCTAAGTTGTCCTGCTCGTCTGTGCTGCATCCTACCGGTGTCCTTAGACAGTCAGTAAGTTTGGCCTTCGACACGTACGCTTGCTTAACTTGAGTTGTGTCCTTAGTCCAAGCTAGACCTCCCTCCAGTGGGTGTATGCTACTGAGGGAGTGGCAAACCAATTTTGCAGTGCCACTAAATTTGGTCACTACCTTTTTCGAGATTGCATAAACCTAGCCGACTTTGCCCTGCGGGAGGCTGCTCATCCACATGAGCTGCCAGTGCGAATGAATGCCCGGGAACTAGCCCAAGGTTCCCTCAGCTCCACGGGGATACGCGCACTTGAACTCACGCGGGACTTTCAAGCGCTAGGAGCGCATGCTTGTGATAATTGTCAACTACTGAGAAAAGTAGATATCTCGAAAACAAAGATCGAAGAAATTCAGGAGTTTACCTTTGTGCACTGCACTAGCCTTTGTGAAGTTAATCTGCCGACCACACTCCACACCGTCAGAGTAAAGGCCTTCATGAACTGCGCCGCACTGCCAGAACTTGCCATCCCGCCCTCATTGCACTATATTGCTAGCAGAGCCTTTCTGAACTGTACTGCACTCCGACGGCTGGTCAAACTCCCAGGCCGACATAAATGGAGAGGAATCTATGCAGAAGAGAATGCTTTTGCTATTTGTCCAGCCATGCGATGGCCACCGTGGCTACACATGATCCCCGACTCAGGGCATATGTCCGGATTAGCGTAAAGAACACTTCTCTCACTCTGCAGATGTCCTTGTTGATGGTCCCTGCTAGTTGCCACTCACCTGGATGAGAGCCTTAGCTTTTCGTCCATGATTAACTCAGCGTGTTTAGGCTCAAGCCCACCTCAGTTCGCAATGGCGGCTCCCTGAGATGAGTGCAGACGCCATGTCCCTGTGCAGCTCGCAAGGGAGTGAAGAAAGGTCAGTGGCAATACATCTCATGCTAACCACTTTCGCTGGAAAGGAAATCCAGCTATCTATCGACCTGCAAGAATATGACAGACTTAATGAGTTTGAAAATGCAGTGCTAAATCAGCTCCCCTATCTTGGGGACAACAGCGCCTGCAGTTTGTCCACAAGGACACCCATAAAGTGTTGGCTGACCCCATTTGGAGCACCTTGCGAGACAATCACTGTTTCAATGTGATTGCCCGTCAGTGTTTTGTGGACGCGCTACACAAAGGGCATCTCAAGGGAGGAGCGAAAGCCATTCGGGTTCCTTCAAGCACCACTGATCGAATACTGCCACAGGCTTTCTCGCTCCATACGGAAGTCAGGCACGTTCAGGTAGAAGCAGGGGAGGCTGCCTGGAGGAGCTGTCAGCGACTGCAGGTGGTCCACTTGCCGAGCACAGTTGTCTGCCTACAACATGGAGCTTTTCGTAGATGTTACCTACTAAGAGCCGTTTTGGCCCCAGGATGCAGGCAATTCGGAATCAAGGTCTTTGAGGCATGCTGCTCGCTAACGCAAATTGGGGCAACTAGTCACACAACTAACCAGTTAGCCGCAACTCCGGCCTAGAGCCTTTGAGAAATGCGCGGCTTTGCGTCACCTCAACTTGGAAAGGACAGAGCATGACCCCACCAACCCAGAACGAAGCTTGCCTGAATGTTGTTTCTTGGAAGCCGGCATCGTTTCGCTCTCCCTTCCGCCAGATTTCACGTGGGTGGGGCCCGCTGCCTGTGAGCGCTGTAAACGGCTCCAGATTGTTGACCTGTCCCGCGCGGACATTGTTGAAATCCTGGGGTCTACCTTTGCACACTGCTCGCAGCTGCAAACGCTCAACCTCTCCAGCAAATTGAGACGAATAGAGCAAGAAGCATTCCTCCACTGTGCCTCACTAAGAGGTCTACATCCCAGTAACTCTGCTCTACATTGCTCGGCGTGCTTTTGCTGGTTGCGCGCAACTTCGCACATTCTGCAAACAGGGAAAATCACGACTTGGAGGGGGACATACGCTCGAGTCAATGCCTTTGACAAATGCGACCTATTGGAAAAGCCTCCGTGGCTTCCTTTCCTGCCGCCAACTGCCAAAGACAGCTGGAGAGAAGACTTCATTGAAGCAGTGCGCTCGGGCTCATAGCTGCGTAGCCATACTGTATCAACTAAAAAGGTCCTTCCCCAAGTAGCCTGAACGAAAGTCAGCCCTCGACGAGCAAATTGATCCTCATCTATCCTTCATCGCCTGCAATTTTGTGAGCCCACCGGGATGAGAGCCTTAGCTCCTTGTCCCTGGTCGGCGGGTGGTAGCAGAGCGGTTGATGGAAGGCGCCCAGGGAGAACCTTAGTTGCAGCCGAACCGCAGCCAGTCTTGTACAAAGATGGCATAAGTACCATGCAAGGATAGGTCTCCGTTTCACCTGTTTCACACGGGCCATGCACGTGGTAGGATAGTGTCCTCTATGCTCACTATCTGATGGATTAGTCACCCCCTTGGCAAATGCGTGGGAGCCATTGGGGGAGTGTTGTGCCTCCTTCGCGGGAGGGAGATCAGCACGCCGTCTGCGGTTCGCTTTCGTTGCAATGCTTTCCACCGCCACACTCGAGACTAGCCTCTGCTCTTCGTAGGTGCATTCAATTGGATAGTTTGTGCCACGGAGAGGGAATTTTCCACGGCTTGCCACGCCTTGCACTAATGATTCACTGGGCAAGTGTCATTGTCACTGCCGACCTTGCTCATGGCACTTCGTAGGATGCCAATATACGTCAAGTGCCCGACACCGCAATGGCAAGGGCGGCCATACCCCTGCCAACAGACTGAGGCCACATTTGATTGGCCGTCCCGAGCAGCCACCCACGTTCAGATGCATTTTGCCGTTCGTTGCGAATTCAGGCCCTTAGTCATTTGGTAGTTCATTTTTTCACCTGTTTCACATCCGTACAGAGGAAACACTACTGATATTGATGGGATTGGTTGGTTGTGGCCTTGTGTTGTTTTGTTGTTTTGGGTTTTTGGGTTTGGCTTTTTGGTTTGGCTTTGGTCCGTGTTTCATTTCCCATCAATATGCTGTGTTTCCTTTCCTTCTATGATGACCTGGGCACACCGCCCACATGGCGTCTGCACTCGTGGAAAAAAAGAACTCGAAGGCATTGTCAGCAACTCGCAGGCGTCGCCCCGTTGTTTTCTTAGTCCCTCGATAGGTAAGGCACTCTAACTTGCTGCACCCTGCAAAGGCCCTGTGCCCAATGCAACAGGGTTGATGGGGTCCCCCTTCTGCCTCTGCCAGGCTTGGAGTGTAAGCACACCGGCCAATTTCGAGTGGTTGGCTGCATCTGCTGGCACTTATTGGCTGCAGCAGTCCTGGTCTGTTTCGCTTGCATTGGAATGCTGTTCAGGCCTTGGGAAACAGCCTGCATCAGGGCACAACTGTTCCACACAGTTGCACTGGACCCAAAGCAAAACAAAACCACCAAACCCAAAAACACACCTCCAAACTAGAACCAAAACACCCAACCCCCAAAACAAACAAGCACAGTTTCGCGCTGTACTCTAAGGTGAAGCCAGTGAGACCTGAAAGAATGTTCAACTGTCAACTCGGGCCTTGAATTCTCGAGATTTTCCTGTTATCTGCTGTTCTTATCTCCGACGCAAAAGAGCATTGGCACTGCAGACCTTGAAGGCCACTTCCAAGTGGCCTCTCGGAATATTAAGGGACAAGTCTGCCCCTGCCAGGTTTGGAGTGTTGGCACACCGGCCAATTTCGAGTGGTTGACTGCATCTGCTGGCACTTATTGGCTGCAGCAGTCCTGGTCTGTTTCGCTTGCAATGCTGTTCAGGCCTTGGAAAACAGCCTGCATCAGGGCACAACTATTCCACACAGTTGCACTAGCTGAGGCGACTGTGGCCGGCAGCGGGCAATTGCAGTGTAGGACATGCGAACACTGACGAAGGCACCCAGCATACCTCCCTCGGCGCACACACGTCCAGCAGGCTCCTGAGCAACATGCCATAACCTCTAAAACTCTATCTCTAGACCTTGAGACCTCTATGTTTCTAGGCCTCTGGACAAATCTCACGACCTCTCTGAATATCAAAAGCTAAAGGCCTCTTTGTCCAGATGTCTGAATCTCTCTTTACCTCAAGGCCCCCCGATGTCTAGACCACCAGACCTGTAGATCTCTTTCAATCTCTAGGCATTTGTAGACCTCTAGATCATTCTGGATCTCCAGACCTGTAAACCTCTGGATTTCTAGACCTCTACATCTTCAGATCTCTCTAAGTCCAAATACGTCTGGATCTCTAAACCTTCTGCTTCTGCACTTCTAGGCCTCAAGGGCAACGCTGTTTGGGGTCTCTTGCCAGGATAATTTGTGTTGATCACACTTGGGACCTTCCTCGCTAATTGTAGCTTGCCATGGCAAGACTTTCACTCAAATTGATTTGAAGATCCACTTACTGTAATGTTTTCTTGTTGGTGCTTGGCCATATTGGTTTCTGCATGCCCACTTCGAATGCTCGTTTGTGACCCGGAAGGATTGCAAGCCGATAAATCACAAATCCATTCCTTTTCTTTCGGTGGTAACTTCGATGTCTCATGCCCGGTTGAGCCTTTTTGTGGCTGTTCATTGTATGCTTGCTGCTCTTGGTTCCGTGGTCGTGTTTGCACTGCTTGATTTCTTGTGCTGCATCATTCTTATGGCTGCCCATTGTTTGGAATGTTGATTGTTTCAGTACCTTACCCGCCAGCGCTGTCCGCATCACATTTTCTCGCGGACATGGGTTTACTCAGATCAGCTGGAATGAATCCGATGCATGTGATGCTCAATTTTCAAAAAAAAATACAGCAGTCATCACTCATGTGTTGCAATGAAACAGTGCGATGAAATTCATACATACATATAATATATATATATATATATTTGTATCAGGATAGTTGTCAGCGTACATTGCAATTGGTGTAAGACCACAGATGCACTTGCAGCTGAGTTTGCCCAACGATGATGTTGTGGATTTGCATCAGCGTTCGCGGTCACGAAAAAGCAAAAACTACCGTTGGTGGTTTTTGGCTTGCCTCCTTGCAAGCTTTTGATGCCATGGACTTATCGACGACCGCTTTCGCGGTGAACACGCCCAAGTTTTGGGGTGGAGAAAAGGAGCCTCAAGAGAGCCTCTTGAGCCTTGACAGCCTCGTGTGTGTCTGGAGCTATCGTGCCCTTTGCCCCATGAAATTTGGACACCATGTGAATGCAGCTCGTTCGATGATCTTCGGTGGGAGGAGCTGGTTGCGGATTGTATTGAAACAGGATGGATATCATCGGAAGGCTTGTGAACAGAAAATGTTGTGCTGAATCAAAACAATGCATTTGTCAGGACACTAGACTCATTCCTTGTCAGGCCCCGCGGTGAAAGAATTCGAATCCAAAATGGCTTCGAGGTGCAGCAGGAGGCCGATGACCCAATAGCTATTGAAGAGTTGAACAAAAGCATCCTCAAGGCTGCAAATCTAAAAAACCGGTAAGCTTGCAAGGCTTGCGAATGTGCTAAGGCATGCCATTGCGTGTGCCAATGGCACTGCTGCATTGGACATTGCAGTGAAGGTGGGTGTATCCAAAAAACATGTTATATACACAGGATATTGTTTGATGTTTTATTGATGCCAAGAATGAGAATGTGTTGCTTGTTTGCAGGGCCACGGCGGCCATGTCGCGATTTCGGTGTAGCCATGCACTCGCCTTGCAGCTTTTGCTTCCAGGCGTTGAACTTGAGTGAAGGCGATGAGGTGCGCACCGCACCGTTTCTTCGGGGCCTGGGAAGCGCAGGACAAACCAGGGGCTTTGGCACCATGAATGTGGAAGCACACAGAGTGGTCTCAAAAGAAAGACAAATCCTTTCAACCCATTTTCTGGGGTTCAAAGCTTTTTAGGCACCGGGGGAAAAAGACGGCCCGAACTCGCCACCGAGGTCGGTTGACATCACGAAAATGAACAGATTCCGATCCAGAAGAGATGTCAACCTTCCAGGGTTTGTAGGGTGAGGTCATCCTTATCTCACCTGTTGTATACTTGCTTGTTTTTTGTTTTGTCACCTGTTTTTTGCATTGGACCGGATATGATGTTGACATATGAAGAAAGCATTATCAAAGAGAGACCCTGAAGAAAAACCATTCCAGACGCAAATCCCGTGGTTTCTTGGACACAGGGCTGACGGGGCCTCCACCTGTCTTGCCTCTTCGTATTTTCTCGGCTCAAGGGGGTCACTGTGAGATGGAAGATGGCGATGTTGATGCTGGTCCACCTCATGAGAGTGTGACCGAGAAGAGTTCTGATCGAGAAGAGCTTGAACCCCGAGCTGCAAGTTGAGTTGAGAGGGAGCTGGGGCTGGAGGATTTTTTATATATCTTTTCCATGCTTTGATTGTTCGCAAACGACCTACGCTTGGGGTGTATACTTTTTTCTTGCAGTGATGGGCACGCTGATGTCGCAGAATGTGTTGTGTTTGTTGTGCTTGAGTTTGGTCTGCCAGACATTTCACCAATCTGACAGCCGAGGCCAAGGATGAGATGAAAGCAACTGATGCCAAGGCTTCAAAATCTGCTGCTAAGGAACACAGGAAAAGGACAGGCATGGGGGTATGGCACATCAGTTCCACGTTTTGATTTCTATAATGCCAGTGCTTCTTTCTTGATGGTCCTTCACACCCACCGGTCTCATCTGCACGCACCACCTGTGACCGGTGGGATGATCCTTTGTTTCTTCCGGCCTTTTTCCTCTCGAGGAATCAGCGACAGAGTTTGGAAGAGACACGGCATTACACCATGTCTTATGACGTCCAAGAGAAGAGGCTCGTAACTCATGAGCGTGAGAGCACCTGCGAGCACAACATCTGGGAGAAGGAGGGGCGCTGTTGCTGCAGAATGCTGCAGATCCAATTCAAGTGTTAATGAAAAGTGTAACTTACATAGAGCTAACCCCCATGAGTTAAGAGCTTGTCGTCGAAGACAAGCTCATAGTGAGCGAGCGCGGAGAGGGTTTGTCAAACCGTGCAAGAGGACGCCTCCAAAGTAGCGGAGTGATGGCACTAGTGATGCAACTGGCGACCATTTTTCGAGATGTACATAGCCACATAGCTGTCATCCGGCAAAGCTGGAAATTCCATCCGTTTGGGGTGTCAATTGTGTTGAATGCAGCCGCAAAATGAGAGGATTTGTTTTGGCTCAGTTGGTTTCCAAACTGCATGAGACTTCTTTCGTGTTCGTGACGAAAGCTTGCCGTGCTAGCTGGAACTTGTCCTTTTTTTGCTACTCTTGCGGCTTTGGGGCTTTGGGTGTGTGGGGTCCATGTGGGCTTTGAAGTACACCATTTGCAGAACACCTCGGGCTTCTTCCTGCGCTTTTGAGACAGGAGCGCCCCTTTTTTTGTTCTGTTCGGTCGGTCCTGTCAGGTGATTCTTCCAAGCTTTTGCATCATCTCAGTGATCACCCAGGCGCATGGGGTTTTCACATGGATTTCAGATGAGCTGGGGAAAACACTTGTTCAGTCACAAGATTGCTATGTGCCTTTGGGTCGAAATCCGGTTCACCCATGAAACATATGACATATCGACAAGGAAGGCCAACCTACTGTGGTTTTGGGTTTCAGTGGTCTTGCCAGAAACGAGAAGCGGCTCGCTACGCACTCCTTGCCTTTCAGCGGGTTCAGCAAGTATGGTAGCAAAGGTGTGATGGTAGCATGCGTGAATTGATGCGGCCACGGTGCCTAAAGAGAGCGAACGAAGACACCATGCCGCACGGCCGCATCGAATGGACAGGCACGGTGCGTATTCATGTCGAAGCGGACATCGAGTTTGTGGAAACATTGCGTTTGGCACGGAGATATTTCGCGCACTGGTAGATTGCAGCACGCAGCGTGTCTTAAATTAAAGGGAAGTTGATCAATTTATTGGGTAAGCTATAGGTTCCTTTGAGGGCAAGGCCAGAGGTTGAGAAGTGTGATATGGCAGGTCAATCTAATGGTGAAGCTGTCGAAAGAGCCAGTTATGACCTGCACGCAATGTCTGAAGATGTTTCCGAATCCCAAGACCTGGTGGTATTTCGGTCATACATATTTGGTTGTCAAGTGCGTCTCATACAACATACCACCTGGAGGGTCTTAAAGTGAATCTCAGATGTGGATAAGATGCCACCTCAGAGTCATGGCTGACTCGGCCACCGTGGTCACCGCCTTTTTCGTCTTTCGAGACGATCTCCGAAGGGTGGACGGCTTACCCCGTCAGGCCGTAACTGAGGTGTTGGCCCAGTTACGGCTGTGCCAATGGCGAAAGCGGCGCACGCAAGCTATTCGTGTTGGTTCTTGATGGTCTAATATGGTGACAATATCAGGGGGACGAGTTGATGATTTTAGTGGGTCAAAAATCGTTTGGTAGGACTAGTACATCATACTAAGTATAGGATTGTTGGACATGTTGTGATTGTGGGCCGTCTCGTTTAATTGCGTACACTTTGTTGAATGCAATGAGGTTTTGTCAGGCCGCACGCAAATCTATTGATTGTTGTTGGTAGTGCTGGTGGCCTGCTGCAGCATTTGCTGGAATTCGGCATGTTCACTCTCACGAATTTCACATGCTGTCTTATTTGCCAAACTATGGTTTTGCCTTCAATCCCGCGCAACGTTGACACTTTCTGCGATTCTACGCACCTCTTGCACATTGGGCGGGTATGGTAGATGTTGAACACCAGCTACATATAAATGAGTAAATGAGACATTGTAGACAAAATCGGAGCTAGTAACAAGAAGCTACGAACGCAACAAGACGGGCATCGCGACTCGAGTCCGGAGCGTTCGGACGCGAACCGAACGGGGGCGCTCCTGGCATTTCTACTAGTTTTCGCAAGAAGCTACTAGTTCACCGTACCCGATCGCGTCCTTTGCATTCCGCGTTACGCCTCAACGCCTTCGCCGCATTTCTGCCAACGCGTTCGCGGTGGACCGGTGGTTCCAGGGTTCGGTTCTGGAATCTCCTCGGAACGAAGCCGGTCGGATGGTCACTTCAGCATGCGACTAATCATGTAGACTGATGAAGAACCCCCCTCCATTTCTCTTCATATGGAGAGGGAGGTTTGTTTTATTGATTAAGAATCTACATTAGTTCATGACTTGGGAGTCTTGGAGATCGAACGAGTTGTTCAATGGGGGTTCAGGGTGTCGCAGGGATTGGCTGTTGAGGACTTGGGTGGTCTTGTTCGGAATTTCTGCAGTGTGGCTCCAAGATGTGTTAAACACTACCATGGTTTTGTTTGTTTGGCCAGTTTGCTACAAACTGGCCCACGCCCATTGGCTCTGTTGCTCCTTTCGAGATGACGGCCGCCACTCCACCGGTTCACATGGAGTTCCTACCAACAACTAGTTCCGTTCCTTTCTCCAGACCCCACAAGTTAGCTGCCTCCAATCCCCAGACCTCTTGGGATCGCTTGAAGACTCTCAACCGGTCACGTGACCCTCCGCGGAACGCCTCCTCCGTTCTCCACCGGTGCCACCGACAGGTCGTGAGAGGCGGTTCCGTTCCCGTCTTGGTGGACTCGGTGTGGGATCCAAGGAGACGAACACGAGGGGCAGAAAACGACGGAGGAGACGAACACGCAAACGAACACATCTGAGGATGCGACCTTCAATATGGACGTGTCCCAGCTCGCCTCCAAGATCACTCCGAAGACCAAGGCGAGACCTAATAGACCAAGTGCAAGTTTGGCAGGTTCGCAGGTTGGGAATACGTCAGTCCATATAGTATAGTTTGGTTAGTGACCTTCAAAATGTGGACGAGGCTCTCAAAATGGGTCCTTGGCTTCTTTTTGATTTAGATGTGCCTGGAAACCACCGCACTTTGTGTATGGCCCGAAAACCACGCACCTTGGCTTGAAACGTTGGTCCTTCAAGTGCTCAAGGTTTCCGGTTTCATGCTCCTTTTCCGATCATGCGCAGGCGATCATTTGTGTCCACACTTACCACTTTCCCGTGGACATGGAGCCAGCTTCTGAGCGCCAGCTTGAAATGCTGAGAGGAAGTGTGTGCTTGAGACTTCTCACAGGCCGGTGCTTGCTTTGGCCAAGGACACATGATTGGGTGGATTTGTAAAATGGGAACACCCTCCAAGGACATCACTGGTCAGCTTCTTACAATTTCCGGTTGCCAAAAGTTTCTGGTTGCCTGAGTTTGAGATAAACCCATTTGATTTGTGTGAGTACAGTATTCGTTTCGGCATGGCGCTCATCGTTAGCTGCGTAGCTCCTTTTTGGGCATTTTGAGTGTTGGTTTCACTCTTTGTGAACAGTCCTCGAGAGGAACATGGCATCAAAGTCATAGAGGATGCGGCTGAAATGATTGGGCAGTTGCTTGGCTTCGGAGCTTGCATCGGAGCTGTGGGGTTGCTTGGTTGTGGCACAAAAACCTCTGATTTGCTGAGGACTTGCCTGGGGCGGCCCTGCGGCTCCTTTGGAGAGATCAGCACCATGAGCTTTTACCCAAACAAGCACATCACCACAGGCGTTGGTTTCGGGTGAGGTGTGAATAGGTGCAACCAGTGAGCAGGGAAGCTTTGCCATGGGTGAGGTATGATCAAGAAGATCCGTGTTCGTGATGAAGGGGTTGTCTGACATGTCTTGGAACCCTTTTGACATCCTCGCGATGTTTTCACATCCTACTGCTTTTTCGGATTCTCAGAGATAGCGAGGGGTTTTTCATTGGTGAAGCTGTTTTCATTGGCGGAAATCCCGCTGTGCTCCCTGACAGGTGAAGGTGGGATGGTTTTATGTGATGACCCAGAGTTGGCCGAGAGGTGCAGCCATGCAGCAGGTAGTAGGCAGTACTAGCAGCTTTGACAAAAAACATCTCAGCTTCTTCAACTGCTGTGACATGTTGCTCATAGTTGCTCATGGCTTGAGGCTTCTGCATGTTAGCACTTCAATCTTTCTCCCTCACGCTCAAGAAGCTTTGAAGCCCCACGTACCCGAGTCGCAGTGCGGCACCGCCAGTTCTGTTTCCAGGTGCCAGCAGCTGCGGAACCTATGTTTTGATCCCAAGAAGCGGCGCTTTGTCCACGAGGATTGACTGTGGGGTCAAGTCGCGCGGTGTCCGGTCGACGTGTCCGAAGCTGGAGACCTGGGCTGTTCTGAGAAACAGAGACAAAGGATGCAGGATCCTATGGCAGCAGAAGTTGTTGTCTGCAAGCTACATAGAATCTGAGACGTCCATTTTTCTGATTTTTTCGTCGGAACTTCTTCCATCTGAAGAAGGGAAATGATGAAAAAAACACCTGGATCGACCGGGGCTGCGGCGACACCATCTCTCTTTCGTCCGGGTTCACTGGGCCCATCACCGCTTTGGGACCTGAAAGAAGCCACCAGGTGCAAATCTCTCCCAAGAGATGATGAGCCCCTCGTTTTTTACTTTTTCCCGACGATAAGCAGAAGATCGGACGATACAAGCACAATATTTTTCGATACAAAAGGTACATTCATTTCGAAGTCCCACATCTTACATACCTGATAAGAGACACCTGGAAAGCTACCGCTGTGAGGTTCCGGGTTTGACAAGGTTTGTTGTGCCATCGGCTCCAGTGCAAGGACTTGGGGTGGAATTACCGCATGACCAACCTGCAGGCCAGTGCAATGCTGAGGTTGCTCAAACAACTGAAGGTAAGAATGAAAATCATACAACAGACCAGTACAGATTTCTCTTTCTTGAACCATACTTGGCTAAATATGTTGTGGGGCAATCACTTTCGAGACATTGCTGGCTGGGGAATGGAAGCAGAAATGGACACTGACATTGAAGAAGAGCGGAAGGGTCACATAGAAACCAACACCAAATAGTCAAACGTCGGCGACCGCGCTTGGGATGAGACCTTGGACCGAAGAGCAACAAGAAGACCCTCGCTGTTCCTCCCCGGTCGAGAGAGTTCCGCTGATGCGGCTTCGGAACCAATTCTCGTCCAGGCAGCCTTGGGCCTTGGTCAGCTGTTGCATCTGGACGAAGCCGTGCAACGCAAACGCGAGGCGCCGATTCGCGCGGTGGTGGTGCGCGGGGGGGCGCTTCAGGCCGCCCCTGCTTGGGTGCGGTACGGGCGTTTGGGTGACCGGATGAAATCCATGGGGCAAACCGAAGAGTCCGTCGCGAACGGCGTCGCGAAAGGAGTCCGACGAGTTGGTCGAAGAGGTTCGGCGGCCGAATCGATTCTCAGATTGGGCGCTTGTACAGCAAGCTCTTGAAGGGATGTCCTGGTCTCATTCTACCTCCAGTCAGGGACCTCAGATGCTCTGAGCTCTCCCTTTCTTTGGGGAGAGTTCAGGAGTGAGAGATCTGAGGACGATCTGAGATCGGAGACCAACATCTACTGGGTCTATGGGGCCGGGGAGCCACAGGTCTGCAGGTCATAGTCAGGTAAGAGTCAGATAGAGCGGAAGTGGGGCTCAGAAGTCGTTGATTTTCTTATTTCACTGGTTCAAACCTGAGATTGAGATTCTTCTGGTAGTTTCTCTTCAGGTGGAATTGCTTCCGTCTGTCCCCTGCGAAGCAGATGAAGTAATGAAGCACCTGGCTGCTGCCAAAGTGGGCACAAGGCCGGGCTGCTTTGGGGTTGTTCCAAAAAGCTGCAGAGTATACCTTTCTAGCAAAGCAGAATCTTTGAAGCACTACCATTTTTTGGGACCGATGAGACCTAGCCTGAAGGTTTCTGATTGTTTTGCAACTTATTGGATGCAGCTTGGTTGGCGTCCTGATCAGCGCGTGCAGGCCTTTTTTTTGGCCAATGCACGAGCAGCCGGTGTTTCTCCAGATGGGCCTCTTTAAAGGCATTGCGAATTTGTCCGACGAGCATGGCAGACGTGGCCTTGTCAGGATAGACTTGTAAATCGCCAGTCTTGATGGGTGCTTGATTTGGTCAAGTCGAGATCGTCATCACCTTATAATCCCATATATATATATATCTCTTGAACAAACACCGCCTTTTTGGTGTTTTTTCCTCCTTGACCTCGCCCAGGGCAAAGCTTCCCGGTGGCCGAGCGCATCGCTCGACGTGGCTTCTACATCCCCAGTGGTGGGGAAACCTCGCACACGAGACGAGCCGGATGTATTTTGGGGCACTGTACTGCTTGGCTGGGTTGCTTGGATCGAAGAGACCATGGCGCGACATGAGCTTTGTTTTTGTCCAGGCCTTGCGTTGAAAGACGAGGAAGTGGAGGAGGTGAGGTCTTTGGGTGAAAGAAATGAAGTAATGCGATCTCCCCTAGGCCCTAGCCAAGATAATCCAGGAGACTCACATGTTACATCTTGGTTATTTTGTGCTTCAGCCATTTTCTGCCAGGTAGCGAATCGAGTCAGGAAGGCCAGGCCTTTGATGAAGCCTTGTTGGATGTGGATGACTTCTTCTAGAGCCATCATGGAAGTGGACCAAATGCAAAAGGAAGACGGTGAACTTCTTTGCACTCCTAGGGGGTCCGTGAGTCCTTGACGGTCCTCCACTTTCATAATTCGGAGGGTAGCTCTTCAGTCGATTTGTGCCCCTTTTTTCATCAACGAGCAGAAGCCAAAAACGCCAGCGGCTTTTTTCTTGGACTTGTTGAGGGAACATCACAAAAGAGAACGGCATGAGTGGTTAGGCGTTCGCCTGCGATGCTATTTGGCTCGTCGCTTGTGACACTCCCTGCTTTGAGAGCTCTCCTGCACCCACAGAGCTCAACTAACATTCCGTCCACGCTGTCAGCCTCTTAGGTCTCCCTCCCTCCTCCGATAGCTCTTCCGCACCTGGACAGCTCACCCAACATCTCACGCAGTCAGCTCTGAGGTCTTGCTCCTTCCTCTGGTAGTCATCCCGCGCCTGCCCAGCTCATCCAACATCCCGCCCACAGTCAGTTCTTGGGTTTGCAAGTTGTTTCAAACGGTAGTACGCCCCACCCCACTCCACCCCAGCCCAGCCCCATGAGATGGGACGGACTGCGGCAGTGAGAGTCTTGCTGTTGTGCTAGGTGATGGAAATGCTCCTATCGGTTGCGTCCTCAATAGAAGCATATCTCAGTGCTTTTGGAAGCTTCTGCTTCCACTTCGGGTTCTAAGGATGGTGGCTATCCAAAGTGAAGCGGTGAAACGATGGCTATCCAAAGTGAAGAAGCCTATGGTGAGACGAAGCGATGAAGGAAAAGACTTATCAACCTCTCATGAGACAGCATGCTTGTTTGTCCCTCAGTCCGTCGGTCCGTCAGTCTGTCAATTTCTTGGGTTGTCGGTCTGATGTTCTGTGTGTGTATTTGTTTGATGCGTTCATGCCCACAGACATGTTTTACATCCTCATATTTTGGTCTTATGCTTTCATGTTCGCAAGATCTTAGTCTTCCAGAGTCGTGTCTGTGTTTGCCTTGGTTCTGATACATCCTTTCGATCATGGAAACTCCGGAAAATATCAAGATATTATATATGTATATATATATATATATATATGTTGGCCAGAGCTTTCACCAAGGACGCACTCCCAGGATCTTCAGCCACAATGGAAAGCGAATGAAATTGTGAATTCACACTTGTGTTTGTGTGTGTGTGTGTCACCACCTGTTCCTAAGGTTGACATAGCTAATCACCGTTTTGACGAAGTCCACCATGCTTCAGGAATACGATTTATGACTTCTCATTTTAAGCAGCAGGGTGGAGCAGGGAGTCCACAGTTCTGCTGCCAACGAAGACAGCTGTGGCTACTCCGTGAAGCAGATTGGGACGCCAATCTGTGTACCTGCAATTTAACTCTTTCTGTTTCACCCAATGTTAAACCATACAGATGCAGCTGACCCATTCACCTTTCCGTTTTGCAAGTCAAGGTCTACAATGCAGCGGGTAATGTAATCATCTAGTGTGGGACTTCATACTGATCCTAGCTCTTGCGAGCAACTCTCTAAGCGTGTTTCGCCACAGGGTCCCACTGAGGGCTGTGGTGTGATCCCCGTCAAGGGGCGCGGTACACGTTCAGACCCACGTTGCGTGGGGGATCCTCTGCTGAGTTCTCGGTTTGCACTCCGGAACTTCCCGTGATTGCCTCTGAATGTCGGTATTGCATGCTACCCCTGATTTCATGCCGCAGGGCTTACTGTGATCAAAGACTGAAGATGCTTTCTGCAATTTTTACAGTGCTAAGTAATCACCTGTACAGTCAATTTAGGCACGATTCAGGCACGACCGTACGTTCAGGTTAGGCCAGTTACTTTCTGCACAGCGCGAGAACTTTTCCTCCACTCGCTCCACGACCTCCACTTGGATGGCTCAACCGTCTCCAACACCAAGTGCACCTTCACCCTATGGACCTATTTCACAGCCGACCTCCTTGGTGACCCCTTCGGCTCCGTACGGTGCAGTTTCGACGATGCAAATCCCAGGCCTCACCTTCAACCACTTCAACCACTACTACCACACCCACAGCATCTACCACTTCAATACACCTCCCCCACAGCGATGTCTTCACAGTTCCAACCCATTCCCAATACCCACCTGGTTCAGATTCCATCCGCACTTCACCCAGCAAGTTGTCCAGTGCAATCAACCCCCCACCCACCCGACACGAGTCCCTCTTGGACCTCACCCACACTCCTTGTCGCCCCTGCGACATATTGGCCTCCACACCCGCAGAACGTCGTACAACAGGCAGTCCCCACCGACCCTTCTCAGTACATCTCCACCGACCCCGGCCCCCCCCCCCACTCCAACACCCACTCCGCCAACGCCCATTCCACCACCTGGCACCACGGCCAACCGTGCCACCGCAGGCTCACCCACCTAGCACAGCCACCACAACCGATCCACAGACGGGCACCACGAGTGTCTCTGCCTCACCCACGGCTCCTTCCCCCGCGGCATCAGCCACCACTCGGCCACCACCACTTCACATCACGGTCCCTACACCGCACCCACCCCAGCCACATCCACCTCAACAGCCTCCAACCCCTGTCACCACGCCACCACCAACACCAGCCCCACCCAAGGCTACGATCCGGCAACGATCCACTCCGGCCACCACCACTTCTACCACTACACCAACACGATCTCAAGCTGCACCAACACGATCTCAAGCTGCCGGCCCAAAACCACGCCCCCCTGTCAAGCCACAACCGCCCGCAGGCCCACCACCTACGCGTGGCGTTTGGGCTCCACCACCATTGACAAGTTACAGCGCCCACGCCGCTCCCAGTACCCATGCCGCTCCCAGAACCCGCTCTCGTTCCCCTCCCCGACCCAATATCCGCCTCACCCCCAACCCCCAGCATTCGGATGACCGTCCCTCCGGATCTACCCGCGATCCCGCCACTACATCAAGACCCAAGGGCATCATTGTTGCCACCAGTGCCCCACAACAGCCACTGAACCACATCGCCGACCTTACAACCCCTACACTTCAGCAGACCACGACCATGCCAGTCACATCTATGGCAGGGACACTTTCTATCGCATTTTGCACTACTTACATCATCAATGCGATCAGCTTGCGGAACGCAACTCTCCTATGCTCCGCTACGTGGCCAGGATCCTCACCAATGCCGGCATCTTTGCAAAGGACTTAGAAATGCTTGAGCAATGGATCCATTCCGACTGGGACAACGACATCAACGGTTACAAGTCCACAGCATATTTCTCCCTCTACATCCCCCGCCTCCAGCACAAACAGCGAGTCGAACACATCCCCCATCGCCGCAACCAGACTGATACTCAACACGGTACAGTGCATGTGTTTGCGTGTCACGCCACTGAGGAAGGCAACCTCCTATGCTCAAGGCTATGAAACTACCGGCAAGCTGATCTATGACGCCTGGCACACAGCTCGAGTCATCGACAAAAATTGCCAAATGCCAAGGAACAAAGCCGGCGTCATTCTTCACTGCATGGCTTGGGGCACTGGCAAAAAGTTCACCCAGGGTGGCGAACACGAAGGAGAACGTTTGCTCGCGGCCAACCACGGCGTCGTCAAGCACGACAAAGGCAAGTGCTATATCATACACCCGGATAACTGTGTGATCTGCGGCCTCCTACCGCAGTCACCAGGGCAACTTTCCACTCCCCAACTCTGGCACCATTTCCATGACTACCTTCAGCACACACCCGTGTCAGTGGATCTCTATGCAGTCAACGATGATTTGGTTGGCTTTTTCAATTCCGTTCCCCAAGATCGCCTGATCCAAGCTGTCCAAAGCCTTGTCAACCGCTGGCAACACACTTTCCCTACCCCAACCATCACGGTTGATACACACGCAACCGGAGACCCAATCCAGCTTGCCCACATTGGCCGCCGTCACCGCAAACATCCCACGCAACGGACACTCTACACCGACGACATTACTACGATCGTAGCACTTGCGCTAGACTCATGTATCTTCAAAGCGTCCAACTCATACTTCCTGCAGGTCCGAGGAGTCGGGATTGGCTCTCAGCTCTCGCCGGCCTTGTGCAATGTCGCCATCGCCCTCATTGAACACTCATGGCATCAACTTCACCATCCCTTGACTGACCACACCGAGATCCACTTCGTCTACTACCGGTACGTGGACAATCGCTTCATCGCCTTCAACAGCATCTTCCTCAAACATATGGCCATCCAATCGCTGATCCACCCGGACTTCTACGGCAATCCAGTGGAATTAGAACCCGGAAGACATGCACCTACTTGGCTTTGATGTTGATCTACGTCAACGGACTATCTCCTACATCCCACCGGACGCTTCACGCAAGATACGTGACTATGCCTCCGCTGGATCCACTAGACTACGACTTTCTGGCCTACAATCCCGGAGAGTGCGCCTACCCCTCCTCGGCTGCAGAGTGCGCCGTCCCCGGCCCTCTGTGCACCTGTTCCTAAGGTTCTCATAGCTAATCCTTGCTTTGATGACGCCCCGCCATACTTCAGGATTTCGGCCCCCGCCATCTCATTTCAAGCCGCAGAAGTCACTTTTCAGAGCAATCTCACGCAGAGTGCGCCGTCCCCGGCCCTCTGTGTGTGTCACCACCTGTTCCCAAGGTTGACATAGCTAATCACCGTTTTGACGAAGTCCACCATGCTTCAGGAATACGATTTATGACTTCTCATTTTAAACAACCGCAAACAGCAGGGAGTCCACAGTTCTGCTGCCAACGAAGACAGCTGTGGCTACTCCGTGAAGCAGATTGGGACGCCAATCTGTGTACCTGCAATTTAACTCTTTCTGTTTCACCCAATGTTAAACCATACAGATGCAGCTGACCCATTCACCTTTCCGTTTTGCAAGTCAAGGTCTACAATGCAGCGGGTAATGTAATCATCTAAAGTGGGACTTCATACTGATCCTAGCTCTTGCGAGCAACTCTCCAAGTGTGTGGCAAAAGGGCTATGATATAATACCTTGAACAACTTGTTCCAACCATTTCTCGATGCCGTTTTCGACAATTAGGAACAAGAAACTACTTTACTAGGGGCTCCACCTGCGTGAGTTCTGCCCCAAACGTGCCGGATTGACTTGGCTCAAGCCGCGCTGCGCTCGACGTCGGGCGCCCGACCACCGGTGCCACCGCGCGCCCGCCACGTCGCCCGATGAGACGGCTTGATTGGTTCGCGTGCCTCATGGCCACTGTGATGGCAGCTGAAGAGGCGGGCCAAATCAAGTCGATGTGGGATTTCTCGCTTGAAAGTCTGTGGGATTTCATGGTTTGGGACATTGGCCCTAATGATCTTCTATGGCAACATCAAAAGGATTCCTGATCTAAACCCCAAATGATTTCATTGTTTGGGACATCTCCTGATGATTTGTTCACTGTTCCGATTTAGATTCTTTGGGGAGTTTCTCCTGGTAGGGAGACGCCGCCCCATGTGTCAAAGCCTTTGCAAAGAGGATGATCAGCACCATCCCTCTATATATTTAAAGAGAAGTTGCTCACAGTCGCAGCACAGTCGCACTTTCTGATTGACAATCCTGGCAAGACAACGCATATGTTTCGTTCTTTTTGCAATCAGTACGTATATATATATATAACATTATATATATAACTATATATAACACATAAAACGGTTTTTTGTTGTGAATGAGGCTGTGTCTTACAACATGTCTTGGTCTTCACCCTTGGTACAACAGCATACCCCACAGCCGTGGGAAGCTAGCTTCAGCTAGCTGGAGTTACTCTTGTTTTAGCAAGTTATTGGCTGGGGGATGGAATCGGCTACCCAGTGAATTTGGACGTGTCAGATTTGGGAGCATGATAGTTCTGATAGCATCCTTTTTAGGACAATTCTGTTTTACATCATGCCGCGCATCCCCATCCATTGAAAGGCCATATTATTAGATGCAGCTAGCTTTTGTCAGAAAACCCCCAGCCGTCAAGTTTGGCCCAACACTCTGCCGGCCGTGCAACGTTGCTTTGATAAGCCCTGCAGGAGTCTCGGAATCCCATGACCCAACGTTGCTTCTGATGTACGAAAGAAAAAAACTATTAGGAGCAAGGACGCTACTAGGGGCTCCTGGCCTTACTACTAGGAACAAGGACGCTATTAGTGTCTCGCCAACGGGGCCCACGGCTTGGGCAGACTCTGCAGCACTTGCTCTTTAAACCTGAGAGGCGAAAGGGGCCTACGGGGTCTGAACGCTGACAATTCCTAGTGGATTCCGAGGATGGTGACAATCAACTCTGATGTACGGCAAAAGCCCAGCTGAAATTCCTGGTCCTAGAGAAAATCTGATGTGGGACATGGCATGGTCACATGTGCCGGGACCGGTTCCGGCGCCCATCTTGCCTTGTGCCCTTCTTTCCGTGTTTTCCTTACGCTGCGTACTTCGACTCACTTCACACTTCTTTTTGGGCACCCCCTCCAAGCAGTGGGGTCAGCGAGGTGAGGCAGTGGGAGCTCCTCTCACCGGGTGGCACAATGCCAACGCAGCGTGATGCCAAAGCGCTCTGGAGCACCATGGACGATGGTTTCTACGTCATTGATGGGACTGGAGGCTGCAGAAAGCAGACTTAGTTTTGCGTGCATGGAAGATGCAAGGAGATGGGGACATAAAAGACTAGACTATGCCACCCATAAACAATGTGCCACCCAACTTCTTCTCTGAATTTTCAGTGATTCGGTCCTATGCGGAGGTGAAGTTTCGACGAGCTATCGCCTGTATTTCTACAACCGCCAGGCACGGCCTGGCTTTAGGACTCCAAGAGGAAGGGGTGATAAAGCATAGGCATACAGCATAGGCTGTCAAATCTATGCAGCCATGTAGACATGCCTGTTTTCCGTGTTGGATGATGATACAGGGGTGGTTTCAAAGATGCGAACCATCCTCTTTCAAAGCAAGACAAGGTATTTCTGCGAACCATCCTCTTTCACGCACCTATTGGAGCGGACCACCTTGGTCGAACGCTGTTATTTGTCGAACGCTCAAACCCTTCGATCAACCCTTCAATCAACACCCCTCCAAATTTTCCCTGTTGTGTTGCAGAAATGCTTGGTTCCATCGTTGCCTCCTTGTTGCTCTGAATTTTTGGGCCACACTCAACCAAAGATCGTTTGCTGCCACATGTGCCACAGGCTCCTGGTTTGAAGAGATATTGGAACGCTTTGCGAATTTGAGCTATTTGAGCAAAGTCCATATTTTAAGCAAAAGCACATGAGCAAGCTGCATAGTAAGAGACTGCATAGATACTTACTGCAGACCATTTTTGTTGTTTACAAATTCTTACCCGGAAAAGGTGGACATCAACTGTTTCGGAGTGGGCCAGCATTTCTGGTTGCCGTTTCCGCAGGCCAACCTGTGGGAATGGCTCTCCCCCACTGGGACTGCACCAAGTCGCCGCTATGGAAGCGCAGCTGTCTGGTGCGATGCTGCAGATGGCTTTTATCTGTTTGGCGGCTTTCAAGGACTCGGCCTCAGCCAGGGTAAAGAGGCTCAAGAGGTCAGAGCTCCCAGTTTCGAACAATTGTGGCTGGCGAAGGAGGCATCAAGAATGACTTGTATTTCTACCACCGAGAGGCCGGAGCTGACCCTGTTTTCTTCTTTTTGTCTTTTCGGGGCGGTGACGCCACTCTGGAGGAAGGCATTTCTCTCCGGTCATATCCCAGTCTAATGTCATGGTGTCTGAGACTCCAGACTTTTGTTTTCTTTGCATCAGCGTGGGTGAGTGTGTTGCATACGTAATGGGAGATTGAGCACTTATATCTCTCGACGTCTATATACACTGTCTGCAGCTCGTGGGGATGCATCCAATCTCTCTAAGACCGTCTTGTTGTCACAGTATCAATATCAACACGTAGCTCGAAATGGACAAATGGAGGGACCGATCCCTTTTGGAAGAAACCTAGCCACTGCAATCGCGCGGAAAAACCGCGGCAGAACACATGGCTTTCGACCAAACGCCCCCTGCGCGTCCTTTCGACCGCCGCGTTGGAACGGCGTTGGATGTTTGGACCTGCAAGCGTTGGAACGGCGTTCGATGGAACGCTTTTTCGATGTGGCACCAACTCCACTTGGATTCGGGCCGACGGACGAATCCAAGTCAAAGCGACGTAAACTGAAGTACAGAAGCGAACGAATGCAGACAAATACCGTTGATTCGAATGCAGGCCATTAAAGTCATTGTGTGTGTAGGTTGAGGTTGAAGAACACCCTACGCGTGCGCCTCAGAACTCGAAAGGCTCATTGACCACTGTTGATGGTCAAGGCATGCCAATCCCTATATAAACCACTCACTTGGATTGGCTCTCCAAGAGTCTGAGTGGGATGAACACAGAACTCGCCTTGTACTGACCGGCGGAACCCGCGCCACCCGGAACCCCGCTCCGTCGAGACGCGAGAGTTTCGTGGGAGGCCAATCACTGGGAGGCCATCTCCTGGACGGGCACGGTGACAGGGTTGTATCATCACACAGCTGCATGGAACACGGTGGCGGATGACTTCTATGCCTTTGGAGGCACCAATTACAGCGGCCAGGACCTCAGAGCTGGGGTTTAGGGCGAAGAAGTACAGTGACAATGACATTTGTTTCCACTGGCTTTCGCCCGAGGAACATCAAACGTTCTCTATTTCTATGACCGACAGGAGCTGCTGAGGGGGCTGGGGTTGTGTGTGTGTGTGCGTTTTGTTTTCAAAAACATTGAGAACTGGTAGTGTTTGTGTCTGGCATGCGCATTATATTTTTAGGGGGGGTTATGCATTGAAGGCTCCACGAGAGCATGAAAGTCTTTTGCGTGTTCATTCAACGGTTTGCACACAAGCACTCCACTTTTCTGCAACCTTTTTGCCCCTGTGAAGAATTGGTGATGTGTTTCGAGCTGTGACCTGCTGGTTATGCAGATATGATGTTCAAGTCAAGTAGGCAACGTAACTCCATAAAAACAACGCAATCCAATCCAGTGCCCTGAAACACGAGAGACGATTGTCTTTTGCCTTTTGCAATCTGGGGTCTATGCTGGTGTATTTTTTAAACAAGGGGTCTCGGGGTGTCTAGAAGCGGCTAGAGTAGGGGTTTCTTACCGTAGGTGTTAAAGCGGGGTGTCTGATCGGAGTCCGGCTAATTCGCTGCTATCTACAGTGACATTCATTCACCTTGAGGTCTTCGAAGTGCATTTCCGCTGCGCCGACTCGCAGAATCTGCTGGACACAAGCGGGTGCGCTTCTCGACCGCGCTCTGGTTGTGGTGCCGTCCGCATTTTCGGACTTGGTGGTCACTTGTCGTGGCGGGCAAGGGAAACCTCATGCTTTGGTGGTCCAAAGTCGACACTTCGTGGCAGGCGCAGGAAATCGGAGTGGCTTTTCATCGATGAGCAGTTTTTGGGGCAGGCTCAGCACTTTGGACATGGTGGTGGTTTCAGCGGGCTCTGCTTAGCATGTTGAAAGGACCTTGAAGTACAGACTTCGTGCAGCACCCCTTTGTGGGCCTTGAAGGCAGACTTCGTGGCAGGCACGGCGCTGTGTCGAGGCAGGCGCGGCAGCGCATTGTGGACCTTGAGGTGCAAATATGGCTGTTCGTGAATTGGAGAGTCGGTGCTGGTGTCATCCCCACAAATATCTTTTACTATCTGGGGTCTGTGCTGGCGCCTGTGAGAGCTCGTGAGCTTGGGTGTTGGCGCCACTCAGGGTGCCACTGCCAGATGTGTGGCTGTGGGCTTTGGAGCTTGGGCGCTGGTGCCGCTGCAGGGTGCTGCTGCAGGGTGTTTCTGCGAGATGCCCTTGGCCGTATGCGCATTGGATAGACGTGTTTGTGGCCATGTGCGCTTTGGAGCTTGGATGCTGGGGGGGTGCCGCTGCAGAGAGCTTGGGTGCTGGCGCCGCTGCACCTTGCCGCTGCAGGGTGCATGAACATGCGATCAGCTTTGTAAATGGTCAACTTCAAACAGGTCAGGCCAGGATCACGAAACTTAGGTCCAGGCCTGAAGGAGGAGTGTGAAAAGTGAGCCATGAGGTGCAGATGCATGCATGTCAAGACGTGATCATGAACATGCCATGCGCAAATCAATTTGACCGAAGAACCTTTTCGAGTTCGAGCAAAGTTCGCAATAACGCATTGGGCTGTGCAATTTGGCACGCCCAAACATCAGGTTCCTTACTGGTCTGGGTCGAGTGTATGTTGGCCTGCGCATTTTCGTGATTGCAATTTTCCGGATCTCGTCAGCAACATTCAACTGCAACGTGTGTGTGTGTGTGAGTGTTGCAGGTGTATGTTTTTGAGTGATCAATCTGTGTTGCAGGCTGAGGTCAAGCACACTTTCCTTTTGACTTAAGGGTGAGCACGCGAGCAAAGAACCAGTAGTAGTGTGCCACTTGCTCTCCTTGCAGGCCAACCAATGGGAGAAGCTTTCGCCGGGCGGATCGCAGCCTCCAAGACCTTACAGGCATAAAGAGCACGTGGCAATGTCGAGTGATGCGGTGGATGGCTTCTACCTTTTGGGAGGATTTGGTTCCAGCAGCGTGGCGGCCGTTGGTTTTGGTTTTCAACGTAAGGGGGAGGGATGTGCACCCGGATGACACGTCGAAGTCTACCGAGGCACCGTCACCTTGTATTTCTACGACCGCCAGGCGAGGCCGACTGTAAAAGAATGTTCCCAAACAACAACGCATGAACACGACTGTGGCACGCCTGTGGCACGACCACACCAGCGGGTCACCAGCGGGTTGATGTCACACGCAGCCTGACATTCCAAAGCGACGTCCTCTCCAAAAACACACTGCCTGGAAAGGCCGTGCTGTCGCAATGTTCCTTTCATGAAAGCTACAGCTACAGTACTTTGCCTCTATTATAGCTGGATTTGAATTTGTGTTTGTGGCAGCAATCCTGGACCCAAGAAACATTGACGCTTGTTGAAGAATGGTTGTTTCCAAGCTTTGGCACGTGAGACTGTATCTTAGTCTGGCTGGTCTGAGTTTAGTCCGGCTGGTCTGAAGCAGCGCAAAAACTCATTTGAGGGCCTAAAAGATGACATGATTTGCTCTGCTGCCCCAGAGGAGTGGATCACCATGTTGTGCACCAGACGTGGCCCTGATGTGGGGTGCATTTTTTGGTTCTTGAGAGGCGAATGCATGGTCCACATTGACGGACAATTCGGGCCCTATGCGCCGATATGGGTACACCGCTGGCTGGAGTGAGAGCGACGATGGGCTCTATGTCTTTGGGGGCCAGGATTGGTCCACCTGTGGTGACCTCAGCTGATTTGGTCGCTCGAATCATCTGACGCGGGTGACAGCCGAGATTCCCACCTCAATGACTTCTGGTTCTATAGCCGCCAGGCCTCGGTATTTCAGGGTGTTGCTGTTTCAAATTGAGACTTGATGTCCATGCTTCAAGTTTCCAGTCTCTCCTTTTTGCCTTGTGCATGTAAATACACTCAATGTACGCATGAGGGTAGAACCACACATATGAACTGCCAAAGTGAATGGCTTGCAACCTATGGGGAGTGTGCTCGCCAGTGACCATACTGGTGAACGGTCCACGTCCACGGTCGGTCCGTTCGGTCGGTCCGGTCGGTCCACGTCTGCCGAACGCATGGCGTGCATGGGTGCCCCATAAAGGAACGGAGCTCCGTTTGGTCAGGAGCGCCAAAAGGTTTGGTGACCAACCTGGAGATCTGCCAATGCAAGTTGGAATTTTCCGCTGTCGACACGATTAGAAAGACAATTGACTTCAACATACTTCAACTATATATTCGCGTGTTTGTTTTTTGACTTGGATATTGCATTGTGTTTCGTTTAGAAACGAACCTTGGAGTGCAAGCCAGGCCAGAATTTTGGCCTTGTGGTGTCCGATGTTTAAATATCCAGTGGAGCTCACTAGCGTCAAGTGACAACTAATGCGCCCCTGCCTCTCGAGCATATGCAATGGACGCGCTCGGTAAAATTGCAGGTATTTTTTTTCTTCAAGGGACACATGTTGCAGCTTATGTGTTTTAAACATGTGACCGACATGTCTTGCCTACAATTATCAGCTGAGTATCCTGTCCATATTGCAATCAAGCAAATAGTTCCAAAGTCTCGACAAGAAAGTTCTGTGTTAGGATAAATGGACCCATGGTATCCCAGGGTGAGGTTAGTGAAAAGAAAGCAAGAAGGGAGGGTTTCCTTCTTGTTACTAATAGCTTATTGTTACTACTAGTAAGGCACTTGTTACTAGAAGCGATGCACTTGTTCCTAGTAGCTTCTTGTTCCTAATAGGTTTCCTTTATGAAGAATGTGATGAATGACGACGATGGGTGTGACAATGGGTGCCACGACAACTCCCGTGCGATGGGTGCGATGATGGGGGCGGGTGGTGGACTGCGATGTGGGAGGGTTCATCGTCCATGTCCGTTGGTTGCGTTCCACATCACCGCCAAGAAGAAATTGTTTGAACAGACAAAGAGGGGTGTGAACAACCAGATTATGAAATCAAGCTTCAACTTGACGTACATTATCCCTGTCTGGACAGGTCAGCATTGAGATTCTGAGTGACATAAAGAGTTCAATATTTAGGTCTAAATGTCAAGGAGGAGTGCAAAACATGAGCCACTTTGCTTTCTTGTTTCATACACATGTACAGTACCATGGTACTCTGCAGACCCTTTGAGCTTGACAAAGGATGTCCGCAATAGCTAGTTTTTGTCGTGCAGAACCTCTCGATGAACACGGTTCCGAGTTCATTCACTGTCTACTGTTGCATAAGTCTTCTGGGTCTTGAGTTATGAAAGAAGTCAAAGTGGTTCTCCAGTCCTGCTAATGGCCAGCCACAGTGACCATCAGCAACGCAGCATGATTCTCATGGAGCAGGAAGTTTGCTGGATGCCCTATATAAGCTCAACTGGTTAGAGACTTGTGCAATCTTCAATTGAAACCTTCAAGAGCAAGAGGGACTCCTGGACTGGCAAGCTGTTCTGCTTGGTTTGTCGTTGGATCCAAGATGTCCATCCAACTGCTTGGTTTGCCGTAGTCTGATAGGATCGTAGTCTGATCCTCCACTTCATATCTGCAAACATATGATTAAATGTGTTGAAGTGCAGTCAACTGCATGAAAAACATACCAGTAGCTTATTTCACAACGTACGGTCTCAAGACTGTTTCCAAGTGCGGCGCACTTGCACCTGGTGGATAATTTGTTGTCAATAACTTTTGGCCTAGTAGTCTCTTGTATACTGCTGCTTCTCTTTCTACAGTAGCCCATTTCTCAATGCTCATGCTCTCTTCTCTTTTCTCTGGCCTTGTGATGTTGCATCCTCGTAGGAGAACCGGGATTGCTTTCCATCAAAAACTTGGGCTGTCCCAGCTATAGCTGCTGTTTCTCTGTCATCCTCGTGTCGATTCATTGGCCTCAACCCAGTAGCATTCTTAGAGCTCACGTGAACTTGTACCGGACCGGGCGATTATTGGGGCACTTGAATCTTGAAAGTGAGTGTCACATCACCGTGTCTCTATGAGGAATGTTATCTTTTGAGCACAAGTTACAACCCAACACCAAAAAGCGCTTCCCATCAGGAACATGGTCAAAGCGCAACAGGTCCGGGCTCGCACTGCTCGCGCCTCTGCTAGCGGCTTCACACAACTCCAACATTTTGAACATGCTCAGTGCTCCACGGAAGGACATCATGCAAAGAATCAGCTCGGAAATTCACAGACCTCTGGAGAGGGGGTGAGGTGCCAAGCAAACTTGAAGCGCATCCATGTACGTGATGAGATGCCAGCATGTTGCATACCTTTCCCAAGGGTTTTTCCATGGACAAGGTGAAAGGCAGATTCCCGCGCCTGCTTGATTTTTTGATATCGCACCCTCGCACCATCGGCATCGCATTCTATGTGAATCTTTACTTCGCCACTCGCGTGTCGCGGCTGGCCAGTTTTTGCCAGGACAACACTTGGCAGGAGGTGATCTGGTGGGGTTTTCCTTCTGTTCGGAGAGAGGCCGCCATTGTGACGAACAATGAAACAAATGAACTCTATATCTTTGGGGGGGGCTTTGCAGAATGGTGCTGACCTCAGCCTGCAAAGCATGTACAGTTGTGTGAGAGATCCTGGTTTTCATTGGCATTCGATACCCAGGGACACATCTCAATGACTTATACGTCTACCGCAATTGTGGATCAACTTGCGAGGCAGGACGGTCATGTGTGTGCATTCTATACTGTTATGGTGTAACACACACACATATATATATATATATACACATAAGAACCTTTGCTCTACCATTCAATATGTTGTTGTTCTTTGCCTTCTTTGCGTGACTGATCTTCGGATGCGGCTTTTTGTTTCAGTGCCTCAAAATTCTTCACATCTGTGGCTTCTTCTCACAGATTTGCCTCGTAGATCTTTCGGTCTGTGATGTACTGATCTGCGGTTCCCACCGCCAACCGTGTTCAAAACACCGCCGCGTGCAGACCAGTCTTACAGCCACGACAAGTATGACGTCAACTTCGACGTCACAGGCGCCCATCAGCAGCGACTGAGGACAAGTCATGCGTTTGTTAGCGAACGCTAGCTGTCATTTTTTTTTTGCGAACGTGCATGCTTCTGCTGTCGTGCAGACCTCCACTACACTGAGCAACACGTCCACAAGTGCGACTTTGGCCGGAGCCCCAACGTTCATTGATGATATGCTACAAAGCGAAAAACCATACCGGTTGCCTTTGCTTGAAGGTGGTTAATTGGTTCTGCGAGTTTTCCATGTAGGTTTGGCTGGAACATGTTTTCTGCTTGTAAAGATCTCCAAGGATTTTAGCAATGTTGACAAAATGCATTGTTTCGGACAGGGAAGTCTAATGAAAGTGGCAGTGATTGATTTAACAACTGAAATGTGAAAAATAAGCGGATCAACCTTGGCTGTATAACCTTCATTTGCACATAAGTATGTTCTGTTTTCTACTTGTCGTTATCCACTGCTGATGTGTGCAGACGACTACGACAATCACATCAACGAAGGCAGCTTCAGCGCTTTGGACCAGACTCTTTGTCCAGCCATTCAGTCCGTTTGAAGCTGGGTTAAAGGCATTACCAGTCAGACGCATGTTCGTCTTCTTTTACCATTGAATGTGCACGCCTTCCCCAGTTGTAGCAGGGTATGTCAGAAATCAATGGAGCCATATCATTGTGAGGTCTGAGGTGCATATAAGTCTATTTGTTTCTACAATCCCAGACGATTCGCATTCTTGGAGAAGTCGCACGTTGCTGCTTGCTGTATGGCTTTGGCAGACGAGCTCATCAACCACAGCCAGTGAGACATCCACCTCGAAGTCCGAGGCAGACTCATCAAGTCACTTTGTTGGCATGAACTTTGCAAGTGGCGGTTGACCTGCAACTTTGGTGGCACTCTTTCCCTATTTAACCTGTGCCCTTTTCAAAGCTAGACACACACACACACACATATATATATATACATACATAAAATGAACTGATTATGATATTTTATCTTAACTTTGTTTTTCCTTAGAGCAAGAGCCTCGTATCCACTGCATGACCCTTAACACCGGGCATTGAAGGAAAACACATTAATACATGTCTATGCAATTTTTCATTGCGCCTTAAGTTGATGTGTCCAACCTGTTTTGTTCTCAAGCGACGGATCGGAAAGGTAATTGAGGGGCTGAGCTTGATTGGTCAGTTGATTCTCCTGTCCCTTCCACTGCAGCGGATCGGTTTTGCCCTGGTTCTTCTAGGGCTTGCTTCGGCTTCTCGGCATGTCCTTCTGCTTTTGAGCCGCTCTTACTTCTTGGCTTCGTGCCAGCCTTCACCGTACTACCTCCCTTCGGGCTCCATCCCCGTCCTCTTGGCACTCGGCCTCAGACGAGTTGGTTGCTCCCTCTGCTAGAAGGCGCCCACCGGCCTTCTTGAATGAGTTGCCGATTGCCATGGAGGACATTGATCGCTTGGAAGGGTCGACTCAGCTGCTCCATCAGTGCAGCTGCCCCATCACTATCACTGCAGCCCCGTCAGGGCCTACCTTTGAAGCAGCTGTCCGACCGAGGATTGGGAGCTTGTTGAGGATGCTCTTCCGCATCCAGTGTTAGTCGCCAGTCCTCCTCCTGCCCCGGTGCAAGTCTTGGATTTGACCCGGAAGTTGGCTTCTTGCAAGATTCCTGCAGCCTTTCGCATTGACAGGACATTCAAAGCGGGCTACTGGGCTAAGGTTGTTTTATCTCAGGAACCTCTATCGCCCGGAGCGTCGAGCACCATGTAGTTGCTTCTCAGCGCCCC